TTTTTTTTTTTTTGTACCGGGGATTGAACTAGGGACCTTGTGCTTGCAAAGCAGGCAGCAGAACTACTGAGCTAAATCCCCGGCTAACACGTCTACTCTTAATAAACTAACGACTATATATTTGATGACCATAATCTAGTAAATGCTAAATTAATCTAGTAAAATGGTGGGTTCAAAGACCTTGTGAAGATTTTTACCCTGTCACTTTTTATTTTGGAAGATAAAACTTTCTAATAGTCAAGTTTATTACATTTTTAAAATTCACTTATGCTAAAATCTAAAGGTAGGCTATATTTTGTAGTCTTTCAGTTTTCTACTCTTCACTAAAGCAAAGTCCTATATAAAGCTAACTACTATCATTGAGTAGGAAAAGCAGACAAAGCTGAAGCCTGATTTCCCCAGAAAACATTAACAAAAGCATTCTATACATAACGTAGCTGAAAAACTTTAAACATGAACAAATAGAATTGTAAAATTTGCTTATAATTACCAACTGAGATGTGCCTTGATGTTCCAAAGATAAAATATGTCAGGATAGGAAAAAAGGCAGAGTAGAGACCATATTCAATAGGAACTGCAGCTAGCAGAGCATACGCCATTCCTGAAAGTATATGAAAAATGATTGGGTTCACAAACAAAAGCTTTGTTTTATTTTACTACACAAAGAAAAAACTTCTCTTGGACATTCTTGATTTGTGGATTCCACATAATAGCCTGGGATGATTGATTTCCTTATCTTACATACTGACTGTGGCTATGCTAGGATGCAGACTACCACTAAGTCAGCTGGGATAAAGATTGCATGGCTGTGTGTTGATTCCATGGATCAGTAAACCGGTCATCAACTGATCATGTCAGCGGTGAAAACAATCAAGCCAGCGGTTGATTAGGAACTTGGTCAATTCATTCCAAAGGCTCAGACCAGTTTTGCACATGCACAGTTTGGTCTGAGTTCAGTGTTCCTCTGTGTTCTGGGGCTCAGTCATTTTTGCACTTGCCCTTTCTCCTTTCCTGTTGAGGAAGAGAAGTTAGATACAAAGCAAGAAAAAATATGGCAAATGTACTTAGCAGCAAGCAAGGCAACTCTGTGCTGGTGGAGACCAGCTCTCCCAGTGGGCGACCCTGGCAGCCTCCGGGCCCATGCATGTCAGGTTATAGAGTAATCAGCATTGCAGTGTATTCATGTACAGGGACTAGGAGAGGATAAAGACATTTTCTCTACCTTGGTTAAATACTTAGGTAGTCAACACTCTTCACACATCTTATCTCTTCACATTTCACTCCAGTGAGAAAAAGATCGAGCCTTATAAGCCTTGTGTCATTAATAAAGGACTATACTTATGACAATCCTGACTTCACCTACAGGCATTCGAAATCATTTACTGGATGAATATCCTCAAATAAGGAAGTGGTTGGGTAAATTATACTTCATACATTGGAATTCTATGTTGCTGTTTTTTCTCCGTGTCGGTAATTCTATGGAATGCAATTGATATGACAGTAACACGGAGAGAGTGAACAAAGTAAACATTTTTAAAGTAAAAATATGAAGATTAAAAAGTAATCAGTATGCATGCTCCCATTTTTATAAAAGTATACATGTATGCTGTGCACTTTTAAAAATCTGGGAAGATTTCTAACAACATGAAGTAATTCAGATGTGCAAAAAGACAATGAATAATAGAGTGAACACCCATGTATCCACAATCCAGCTTAAAAAATTGTCAGTACAGTTGAAGTCTCTGTATCCTCTTCCTCAGTTGTACCCTCTTCCTTCCCTCTGCCTCCACAATCCTGAATTTGGTATTTATTCTCAGGCAGTTTGTATGCTTTTTATATAGATCTGCATCTATAGGTCTAGTAGGATATTTACTAAACCATGAATAGGTTATCTATACGGTAAGATCAGAGAAGATTTCTAGTTTGTAGAGGAGGTATTTTTCTTATGTTCCTTATGTGTATTTCCTAGTTTTTACAATGAACATTCATTGACTAAAAAACTATTGATTTTGCACCAACTATGTGCCAGGTACTGTTAAAGTCTCTTCCCCATAGAATTTGCATTCTAGAAAATATGTAGCATGGGTACAACTGTTTTAATATTTCAATTACAGGCCTCGCTAACAAGTTCTGTGATGACTGAGGAGGGGGCATTACACTTTGGGAGTCACTGGCATATGAACTTCAGCACAAGACTTGGACGGCTCTAGGAAGCTGAATATCACGCTTTCATTAATAGTCATCTAGAAGACTCTATGATCTTTTGAGGGCAGAGAAGCTCAGCCGGTCCCAGCACCTGGAAGGAAGCTCCCCACCGCCATCCCAAGCTCCTAGGGCAGAGAAGCTGAGCTGGTCCCAGAACCTGGAAGGAAGCTCCCCCACTGCCATCCCAAGCTCCTAGGGCAGAGAAGGTGAGCCGCATGGGTGCCAGAAGCCCCCCCACCCCACCCGTGGAAATGAGAAAACACATAAGCAAGCCTCAAAAACAGAGTTTCAGGTCACCTACAGCAACCCCAAAGGAAAACGAGATGGAACAATCTGATGCTCAACCACCTGGACTCTCTGAACTGGCAACAAAAGAGGATCTGGGAAAAATGAAATCAGAAATAATTTCTCAGATAACAGCAAAGATTTTGCTCA